TTTTAGTAATTTTAAATAATTCTAATATATGCTGTCCTTTTGTGGTGGCTATCAGTTTTGAAAGTTTTTTCAGCTTATTTTGAAATAGTTTTTCATCTGTCCTGCTGTGTGCTTTTGTTGTCTGCAGGAATATTACTCTGCTCCTTTCATCCTTTTTCATAAAATGACTTTTCTTAAGACTTGACCACATTTAAGTAAAATGAATTTTCCTGCATCTTTAGGAGGGAGTGATGAGCACATCGTCTCTTTTTCTGCAAAGTATTCAAAGTTTGGCCTTATAATGTCTCTGATCTACCGCCTCCCCTCTCCTCCTCCTACTTATCTGGACTTTCTTTTTCCCTGCTCAATTTGGATTTTACTCTCATTACTTTCACTTAAGTGCAGAGCTTTGTCTTGGAAGGAAACTTTGGTTTGTTAGTTTCAAGAGTTTTTCGAGACCAGACTGCTCCAGCACTAGTGATCTTGTTGCATTTTGATCCCTTTCCATTTCTTTAAATGAGGGCGAGGATCCTATAAAATTTCTCCCAATTTAGGTCCTTGTCTTCAGATTAGCATGTCACAATTTTTTTTTAATTGACATAACATTGTGTGTTTTGTCATGTATAACATGATGTTTTGAAGTACACATACATTGTAGAAAGGCTAAATCTAGCTAATTAAGAAATACGTTATCTCAGTTATTTTTGTTGTAAGAGCACATAATATCTACTCTACATTTTTCAAGAATGCAATATATCATCAATTATATTCACCTTGCTGATCAATAGATCTCTTGAAATTTATTCCTCCTCTCTAACTGCAATTATGTATCCTTTGACCAACATTTTCCCATCTCCCTTCTCCCTAACCACCTCAGACTCGGGTAACCATCATTCTACTCTTTAACTTCTATGTGATCAACTTTTTCAGATTCCACATATGAGTGGCATCACGTGATATTTATATGCCTGGCTTATTACACTTAACATAATGTCCTCCAGGGTCACCCGTGCTGTCACAAATGGCAGGATTTTATGGTCAAATAGTATTCCATTGTGTATTTACACCACATTTTCTTCATCCATTCATCCTTTGGTGGATACGTAGGTTGATTCCATATCTCAGCTATCGTGAATAGTGCTGTGATAAATATGGGAGTGCAGATAGCTCTTCAATATACTGATTTCATTTCCTTTAGATATATACACAGTAGTAGGATTGCTGGATCATATGGTAGTTCTATTTTTAATTTTTTGAGGAACCTCCATCCTGCTTTCCATAATGGCTCACTTTTCAGGGATGATTACAGATGATTAAGGTGTCAGAAGCCCAGATGCACATCCTCTGACATCTCCCACACAGGTCTGTGGCTATCGATTTGTCCCTACCTCTCATATTTGACGGTTCTCGGGAGTATCTTCTTGCCAATGTCCATGGGTCTGTGGTTTTGCTATTTCATTCTTTTTATTTTTCTTTCCTTTTTAATGAGATTTGGAGAAATACAAAAACTATGCTGCCATCACTTTCAGCTTCACAGAATCCTCCTTTTCAAGTTTTTTAAATTCATATTTCTGCCTAACCCCTAAATTGCTATGCTTTGATATTTTCTTTTTCTGCATTCAGACTTGCTGTGTAAAAAGTTTAGGTTTTGACTGCTTCCTCTCAATCTTTTCTGTGGAAAAGTGGCAGAGAACATAGAGCAAAATTGAACTCATGAAATTGTGAAGGTGGGCAGGAAGAATAGACTTGCTCTCCAGAATCTTAAAGGAGGGAAAAGTAAGTAAATTAGAGCATTTTCGATGTGAGAATTAAATACCTGCCCCTCGGACAAAATATGAGCTGTGGAGATCAAAAAAACCTCATTTCAAATATATTTCTGCCATCTTTTAATGCATACCTTCTATGCTTCATTTTTGACATTTTCAAAAAAGATAGTGTAATACCTACCTTGGAATGTTATTGTTAGCATCATAAAAAATGTATGCAGAGCTACACTACCTCACCTACAGTAGGAATTCAATAGATGCATCTATCTATTATTAGTATTTTTTCTCCTGTTATAACTATTTTTCTTTAGGAATACTATCAGAAAGATATATTGTGTAATATGGCTATCATAAATGATGAACTGTTTAAATATAATCTAAATTATGAATTTACCGATTCATAGATCAGACCAATAACAGTATCAGAGTCCATCCTGGTGCAGGTTAGAAGCTGTGGGTAGCTCGGGATAGGATAGAGAATCCTGGATTTGAAATCAAGGCCTAGGTGAAAGTCCTGGGTCTACAATTAACATGCTGTATCCCCCTGTACAAGAAGGGCCAATTTTCTAACTTTAAGATATTAGTGATATTAGTTACCGCAGACTAGTTTTTTAATACAGACTTTATTTTCTTAAGAGCAATTTTAGATTCATAATAAAATGGAGCTGAAGGTAGAGATTTCTCATATACTCCCACTCCACACATGTACAGCCTCCCCCAATATCAGCATCCTTCACCAGAGTGGCAAGGGCCAATTTTCTAACTTTAAGATATTAGTGATATTAGTTACCGCAGACTAGTTTTTTAACACAGACTTTATTTTCTTACGAGCAATTTTAGATTCATAATAAAATGGAGCTGAAGGTAGAGATTTCTCATATACTCCCACCCCACACATGTACAGCCTCCCCCAATATCAGCATCCTTCACCAGAGTGGTACATTTGTTACAATTGATTAACATACAGGGACACATGATTACCACTCAGAGTTTTTGGTGTACATTAGGGTTCACTCTTGGTGTTGTACATTCTATGGGTTTGGACAAATGTACAACATGTATCCACCATTATGGTATCATACAGAGTAGTTTCACTGCCCTAAAAATCCTCTGTCTGCTGACTAATCCTCCCTCCTTCTCCCCTTAGTCTCTGTCAACCACTGATCTTTTTATCTCCATAATTTTGGCTTTTGCAGAATGTCATAGAGTTGGAATCATACCGTATGTAGCCTTTTCAGATATGGCTTCTTTCACTTAGTAATATGCATTTAAATTTTCTCCATGCCTTTTCATGGCTTGTTAGATCACTTCTTTTTGGTGCTGAATAATATTTCATTGTCTGGATTTACCATAGTTTATCTGTCCATTTACCTACTGAAGGACATCTTGATTGCTTCCATGTTTTGGAAATTATAAACAAAGCTGCTATGAACATTCATGTACAGATTATTATGTGGACAAAGTTTGCACCTCCTTTGGGTAAATACCAATGCATGTGATTGCTGGATAATATAGTAAGAGTATGTTTAGTTTTGTTAGAAACTGCCACACACTGTCCTCTAAAGTGGCTTTGCCATTTTACATTCCCCCCAGCAATGAATGAGAGTTTTTGTTCCACATTCTCTCCAGCATTTTGTGCTATCGGTGTCCTGGGTGTTGGACATTCTAATAGATGTGCAGTGGTCTCTCATTATTGTTTTAATTTGCATTTCTCTGATGACATATGATGTGAAGCATCCCTTAATTTGCTTACTTGCCATCCACAGAATGTGTTTGAGACTTAAGAGTTAATGCATGTCAGATAGTTATTACTATCATAGCTATATTCATATAGTACATGATTATTAAATGTAAATTCCCCTATCCTTCCTGGCCTGTAGCTTTTGACAGTAATGAAAAACATTCTCTAAGCTTTGTCATAAAATTCATTCAATACCAATAATATTCTTTCTGTGTCTTAAGAGGACTCTAGTCTTCACTCAATGTGCACTCATTCCTATTTTACACTGAGCTGTAATAAGCTTGATGATCTTACTGCCTCTCCATCTATATATGTGAAATTGAAGCAATGACTTTAAGAAATATTAGACAAAGCCTTCAAAGTTCATTTTTCCCCTGAGATTACCCTGATGTTTCATTTAATATCAAATACATATACTTTTCACATCAAGCTGGTACATAATTCAGAGGTTAGGCATATAGTGAGTTCAAGTAACGACCTTATATAAATATGACATTTGTGTGCAGGAAATTATTTGTATATCTCAAAGAAGGATATATTATTCTCCAAAACTATTCTTCTACATAAGGCATTATGACAATCACATTCCTCTTATAAACCAGCTAAGCAAAATAATGAGAAGATAGGCTTTCGAGTTAAACAGAAATGACTGTGAAGCCCAGGTCTGCTGCTGTCCAGGTATGTGATGAGCAAGTCACTTGGTGTCTCTCTAAGTCTGATGTCCTCATCTGTGAAATGTAGATAGCAATAATACCTCAAAGAACTTAAAGCTCTTGGATCATAGCCAATACTCACTAATCTTAGAAGTTTCTCTTTTATAACCAGAATTAAATCAAGGCTCCAGAATTCTAGATGATATTACAGTCTACACAATTCTAACTACTTATCCAGTGAGGGAACCATACTAAAATTGTTGAATGCATAAGAGCCTACAAAAGACTTGATTTTTTAAAGAACTTTTCCCTCCATTTATTTCCCTTCTCCACTAAGTGATATTGATAATTGGTCTTTTCAATGTAGATATGAAAAATGAATGCATAAAAGCAAATATACTTACTTATCTATGCCATAAACAAAGCATACAGCAATATTCTCCAAAATGACTACAATTAACAGAGGCAGTGTAGCAGAATAATCGTCAAACATGGTAACGAAGTAATTTCCAGAGCGCTGCACAAATATCAGACCAATAGAAAATGCCAGAAGACAACATATAACTGGACAAAAGGAATAAATGAAAAAATAATGAGGCCCTATTCAAAGTCACATCTTTTAAACTTCATTATAAAATATTACAGTCAAACAATATTTTTTATCTTTTATACCATGTCAATTATATAAACAGAAAATACCTTTCCTGATACTATAGAATATGACATATTGGAAGTTAGGATACCCGGGTTTAGCCCCAGCTTCAATATAAATTCATAAACAACACCTCGTCTCCTGAGACTGTGAAATTTATTTACCAAACACAAATAATAAATGAGGCAAAATTGAGAGAAAATTTTAAAAGTATAAATGGCCACACCCTACTTCTCTTACTAATAGTAAAGTGACCTTTTTAGGCAGCAAATATTCATAGGTCATTTCTACCTGTAACAAAGTTATATAATGTTGAAATCTATATGGAATTTTTAAATTAATAATGAGACTAATGTGTCTTATAATAAAAAATTGTGAAACATGTACTTTTATACTTGATTAAAAGATGGTTATCTTTAAAGTATAAATAGAAAAATCTGATCAGAGCTCGCCTCAGCACCAACCCACGCTTATATCTTTATCTTGCCTAAACAGATTAATTTGGAAACTAATTATGACAGGATCGAGCAATCTGATTATCCAAGTAAAAACTAACAAAAACCATCTTAATGGAGTTTCCCCAGTAATATCTAAGAAACGGATGCATAAACTTCTGACCAGTTACCATTAATATAAAAACCTGAGAGAGGTTTTTGGAAGCCATGTAATATTCCCATATGTTTGTTAGTCTCTTTATTCTCTCATACTCTTAGCAGAGAAATCTTAAAACTGAAGGAAGTAGAGTAGGAGACTGCAGTTAAGGGAAGAAGGAAATGGACATCTACAGATTCAATCCCATGAGGGTTCTCTGACAACCTCAGTAATTATGTGTTACATTAACCATTACCTCCATCTCCTAAGCACTATACCAGCACTGTGAGTTACATCATACGTAAAGGAAAGGCATTTGTAAACTTATAATGTAGAAAAGGAAAAGTGACATTTACTTGGAGTCTAGTGCATATTAAATTTAAATTCTTATCACAGTATACAGTGAATTTTTATTATGTCACTTAATTCCAGTTGAATAATGTATTGCTATCTTTACTCTACAGATGGGAGAAATGACCTTGAGGAATTTAAGCACTGTACTCAAAGTCTCTAGCTGGAGGTAGCAGAGCTTGGATTTGTACCCAAGTCCATCTGACTCCATAGTCTGTGTCACTTTCACGCTCTCCTTACACCATAGCATGACGCAAATATGAAGAAAGTGCCTTCTAAGTGACACAGACAGTAAGAGTTTTGCTGGAGTTGTAGGAGGAAAATATAATGAACAATTCACTTTTCTAAGTTTTACTGTACTAAAGAAGAAAAAACACACCTAACAAAGGTGATGAGGTAACATTTCATCGAGGTCAGATATGACATGAAATATAGGTATGATCTCAAAAGACAGGAAATGGGAGAAGACAGTGCATTCCCCTTTGGTCTTTCCAAATAAGAGTCCCAGTGGGAGTCAGCAAATACTACCTTGTGTGATTCTCCCTCTACAATGTTACTTTTCCCTTAATATTACAAGCCCTTTGCTACAGGAGAGGACGGTACAAATATGGGGTAAGAAAAGAGGGCAAAAGCAAGAGTGCAAAAATAAAAATGCAAAAATGACTTTTTTTAGCCCGTGTGTCAGCAGGATATTGATTTTGATATTCAGAAGTAGAAACTGTTTCTGGGAGATAATTTAAAAGTTTTTTTATATTTGTTCAGCTGAGTCGAGAATACATCAATATAAATATATAACAAATTGTTGAAATTTTTATCCACATATGCACACACACACACACACACATACATACATTTTGCAGGGAAGTAAATGATAAAGGTATATATTTGAGAATTATTTACACATTATTTATTACTAAATCTTTCAGGGCTAAAATCAGAGCCTTGGTGAGCTTGCCTGTCACTGCCCAGTGTTCAAGATCACCTATATAATTTTTACCCAGGCTTATTTTACATCACCTACTACTACTGTTCCCGCACTCTGGTCTGGCTAGCTCCTTTACTGTTTTCTTTATCTCTGTTTATATATGTTTACTACAGCTATTTTTTGGCTCCTGAGAAGACCCTACCTAACCTTTCCAATTCAACTTCTATTTTTTCTCTGGCAGTTCCATCACATATTTAGATGACTTCGCCTCTTCTGAAATCTTATGTACAATCCCCATCATGCTCTCTATCATCGTATTATATGATACAAGTCTTATCTACCCAACCTGATTTTAATTTTAGTACTATTAATTTTGGAAAAGAAGCTTTTTTATATCTCTGTGTCTCTCTTACAATTTTTCTCATATCCTTTACATCCCCCAAATTCAAGAATGGTGCAGCACAGAACCGGTACTTGAGTAATCACTTGTAGTTTGTACATATTAACAACTTTCCACACTGATCAGTTGTTTTATTTTTCTTTCCTACCTAAAGACATTAACTACTAGTAAACCACAATTGCTATTGTACATGGTAACAGGATTAGGTTTAACATTTTCAACTATGCACTTTTTGGATAAGGAATATTATATGTGAACTTCTCTATAATTATTTGACTTGTATAAAAATTATACATGAACATTCTATGACTTTATTCTAGTGTCAGTAATTCATAATAATCACATTACTATTAATAAATAGTAACAAAATAAGTAATCATTAATGAACAATTAAATCTAATCTACATTAAGCATAATATTTATATATTATAGATATGAGTATAAATAAAATAAATAAATAGTAATAAATACATTAATAAAACCTCAAATATTATAACACTTTTCTGTTTCCATATCTAATCTCTCACCAAAAATAAAAGTGCCTGTTTCAGTTCAATGAAATGTCCAATACATAAAAAACTCACCAGTAAGAATCTCCTTCCTCACTTTGAAAGTGTCCACAATAGGAGTGATGATCCCTTCAATGGTTCCGAACATGCTGCCAAGCCCTAGGTTTATCAGCATGAGGAAAAACATCACTGACCAGAAGGGAGATGCAGGGAAATGTGTCATTGCTTCTGTAAAGGCAATAAAAGCTAAACCAGTCCCCTGAACAGCCTGTAAAATATGCAAAATAACAACATTAATACAGAGTAATATTATACAATGGCTCTATAAATCAATTACAAAAGGGAGGGAAATTTTTGAATACTGGCCAAGGGCCACTGGAAATAAACATTTGGACATCACCCTTTAACCTGTTAGATCATGTTCTCATTTTCAGAATGTAGATTTAATTAGATCAAGTAGACTCAAATAAGGATACATTGAGTCACAGATATATTGTGACTCAAGTAGACTCAAATAAGGATATAAGGATACACAGATATATTGTGTTGTGTTCTAAATATTTCACAATGATCCTGGAATGATATATCATATTCAAGAATACACAATATTTTTTGGTTTGGTTAAAGCTCACGAATATGAATAGTGATTTATTATCACAGATAAGAGTGTACTTCAAATAGTTCATGGAAAGATGCATATTATCTTTCAATTTTATTTTTCCAAAAACTTTTTGAATTACTCTTGTACATAAGTACAAGTATATATACAACTATTTTGGGGCTATATATAAAGATAGAAAATATTTAGTTTTACCTTACCTCATAGTGGCTTAAGCTATTGGTATAAAGAAAATATAGACTTTGAATAATAAACTTGTTTTAATTTAAAAGGAAAATATGAATGCAAAATAAAATGGTGTTATCAGAATAACTAGATTATAAAAAGTCCATTTTCAATCTTAAAAAAAAAATAAATCTTTATTTTTTTCTACTTCTGATATTCCTACTTTCCTGCTAAAAAAAATTGGGGCTGATATGTTTGTTTCATAATTTAAGAGAAAAAGTAAATTTCCGGTCAAAATTAATAATAAAATGGATAATAAGACAAAGATTCCAATCAAGCAGAATAAAATGTGATTGATAACAAATATTAATAAAGAGGCTTTTATAAAAAATAAATATCACAAATATTGAATTGTAAAATAACAACTTACTTCTCCTAAGAAACTACCTCAAACCAACCTCATGTTGATTGTGTTATCTCATAAAGACAACATAAATAAGAATTACAAAAACAAAACGAAATGAAATGAAAAACCCTTTGAAAGGTCAGTTAATCTGTGCTTATGGAATTCAAGGTTTTTATATTAATGATGGCTTCGCCCACAATTTCCAATGCATGATTCTTTATGTTTAGTCTCAAGTATACTTAGCTATCTTACAGTCAAGTGATTAATGGTCAATTTATCCATTATATTTTCCTTTTTGACAATACAATGGCAGTCAATACCAGAACATTTTCTAATGTTCACCTATTTCTTGTTTATTAAAATATGTGACAGTAGCTAAGAAGAAAGATGTAATCATGATTTGTTAAACACGGCTAATAAAATGGCTATATCAAATATCATTCATGCATCAAAAAAACAGTAATGCAATGAATA